CTTGAGTTGTGCTTAATGGGGGTGAATATTTATGCAACCACTTACATTACATATTTTTCTTTAAATTATATTTCTTTGTAGAAATTGGTTTTTACGTCATTAAATTTGTTTTTTTTTGTCAAAGAAGTCCATTTATAATGACCATGACTGATTTATAATAGCAATAAAAAATAACTAAGGCAGTGAATACTTTTTATAAGCACTATACATCCTTTCCTAAAACTTTAAACTCAATTAGTTTGAGAAGTTAGCRCTCTCAGGGTGTGAGAACTGGAGAATAAGAAGAAACAGATGAAGAGATGGAAGAGATCAGAGAGGACAACTATTAGTTGCTATTAGTTCACTGTGTCACAGAAGAAACCAGAGAGGCTGTTGGTTTAATTGTCTTCCTGAGGTGTCGTTAAGTGTGTGAGTGTGTGTGCTTTGTGGGCAGGAAGAAAGTTTTCATGTTTTGAATCTACAGAATAAACCAGCTGCTCTCCGTGTGACACAGTGGGGGGGTTCAAAATACACAATCTGCAACATTTGAACAGTTTCTCAAAAAAGTAAACACACTCACCTGCCCATTTGTCAAGATCCTTTTAAACTCAGCAGATGATGTTTTCAAGCTGGGGGGAAAAAAAACACAGCAATGTTATATTGAGGAGACCATACCAGACATTTTTCCTCTTATTTACTTTCTAACGACTGCTATTTAAAAAAAATTAAAAAAAAACTCACCTGTTGTTGGCCATTGAGTCTGGAACAACTTGAGCACAGTCACTGGCTGGGTTAGGTCTTGTGTTAACCTGTMGGTGAGCAAGCACAAATGTAAAAAGACAAACCAAGACACACTCAAGACCAAAAGACAAGCAGACAGACAGGCATATGTCTGTCTGCTTGCAGACAGAAACTAAATAGTGTTCATGAGAGAGAGAAGAAGAAAAATAGGAAATAAAGATGTCTATGCAGATGAGGGAAAGGGATGATGAGCAAAATAATAAAAAGAAGAAAAATGTGTCTGCACAAAACTGCAGCAATATGGCTTCACACACGATAAAATGAGAGGAATAAAAAAATAGATTTGTAAGAGCTACATAAAAACTGATGTTAAAACCCTGAAATTTCTGTCTTAGTAAACACTTTGTTCCTTACATCCTGTATCTAATAATCTGTATCTATGTTTACTTTAAAGACCCTTATAGTCAACCCARATATAAAACACAAATGAGGAGATAAGACCCTTAAAGGAGATACTAAAAATAACTCAATAATTGAGGTCAAAAGGCCAATGTGTTGAGTTCACAAAAGCTCAGGGATTCTCTCTTTAATTAGTGCCCAGGAAAACCTAATTTAAATGCCACACAAGCTTTCCCTCAGCCAATTACTTCTGTATTAGAAAAGAGGGGAAAAATTACCAAAGGACTAAAGGTTTTTGGAGAACACCATCCTCTCAAAACAGACCCTTGACCTTAAATAAAAAAGGGAAAACACAGCACAGTTCAGCAGTTGTTGCAAAAGCTTCTCTGAGGGCACATTAAATAAAACACTTTAGTATTTCTGTGGGGGTAGATTTTTTTTGTCATTGAAATGCAGATGGATATAATATGGATCATCAGGAGAGATGGAGGAGGTGTCAAGTCATTTAACCCATGATAATTAGCAGTGACTTTCAATAGCAACATATGCTGAACATAAAATGGGAAGGTCTGCGGAAGGCCATTTGTGAGCTTGTAATGACAATTTCATGGTTGAACAATGGCATCTTCTTATCGCCTGATTTTGCTCTAACCAAACGCTGATACCCTTTGCTATCATATGGAAAGAGAGGATCATGGTACTCTGGAGGGGAATCAGAATTACACAGGAACACCTCGATGGTAAATGACTTTCCCAGCATGAGAACYGGGAGCACAGAGCAACGGCGAAGCAGAAAGACGAGCTCTTTGACAGAGGCCGAGCCAAATATTCCCATACATAAACATGGACGTGAGGAACAAGAAAATGAGTGAAAGAAAAGGAGAGCCTTGACTTCAATTGACATTTCAATAAGTGGAACACAGCGTTACCAATCCATTTGACTCAACTTCCCCCCTCCCTTTACCCTCATTCTCTGTGTAAGGCAGCCGAAACAATTATTGAGATGGGTACCTTCAGGCCATGTATGTTCCGGATCCCTGGAGTCTTGCCGGCTGAAACAGTAATTGGCTAGATTGTACAACACATCACTGGACCATTTACAAATGTGTTGAAAAGGAATCATTTCTTTATAAATAATAATAAAAAAAAGACTAAATGAAATGAGGGTTACTCTGAAATTAGTTGTGAGCATGAGAATGATTGAGATGTTGGGCTCTTGAGACAGTAGGTGGTAGAAAAGAAAAAAAACAATCAAACTTAGAAAGAAAATAATGTCGAGAAATAAAGAAGAGAAATACTCAGAGTAAAATGGAGACGAAGAATGTTTTATCACTATGCCCTTGAGGCCAGCAATCTGTATGACTTTGAACAAACTGAAAACTATAACATGATGTTTTAAAAAGTAAGTATTGAGAAAAACACTCAAACGAAACCATTTTTAAGAAGAAAGCATTTGATGCCAGACAAGCAGGCCTGACTTAGCTTGAGTAAGGAAAATGCAGAATTATAAATGACTTAACACAATAATAGAATACTGAATGTGTTGTTTATTTTGTTGTTTTAATAGTTCACAAGCTTTCCACCTAACTTACAAATATAAAAAAATGTTTTCCTTTATTTACAGCATTCATAATCTTTGAATTTTATTAAGTAAAACTTGGTACCTCTTGGAAAAATCTGTAGAGGGTCCGGCAGCATTCCATTCATGCGTTGTTCATTGACTGTGTTGCAGTACTGAAGAGAAGGAATAAAAACACAATACAGTTGAGGTAATGAATGCACAAACAGGACTTTAAATATGCTTCAAGCCCTTAAAGCCATGTCTTAAATAAAGAACGAGTTAAAAGCTGTACAATGTGATTAATTTACAGCAGATGAACAAAAGCCTTAGCAGAATTAAAATTTGAATAGTTTTTTTTTTACACAAGTGCAAATTATGTTTTCCCCCTCACTAAGGTTACAATGAGTCCACAGTATTCTGAAAAATGTGTGCATGCTGTGCTGAAATCTGTTGCCGAACAGGGCCAATGCCCTGTGGGCTTGTTCTAAGGGACTGTAGCATTAACCCTTTTCTCCTCCAGGTCAGCAGCTCACCAAACACTCATATCCTACACAGCTAACACAGACACACACACTCTGGAGCCTTTCAGCTGCTTGCCAAGGCAATGCAATAATTGATGTTTCAGTTAAACAAACCATCTGTTAAACTGTGAGCTTCTGTGCATGTGAAAGTTGCTGCGATCGCGGGAGGGTTTTGTTTTTAATCCCGCCTACTTTTGAAAGCTAAAAACAAACAAGTAAAAGAAAGTCTATGACCAAAGACACCTGAGATGTTGTCATGTTGCGAATGCCTACGTGAGTTCATTGTGTTTAATTTCCTATGTAGTGTGAACTACACAATCATCACAGCAATATGTAAATTTGCTCTCTCATTGTGAAGGAGGGAGGGAGGACGACGGGACCGGCTTGGATGGGAATGGATCAGAATGGCTACCCAAGTGGCACAGCTGTTATTAAAAGGCCTATTTATCACTGTCAGATCCCCTCCTTGCTTCTAGCCCTCTGCTTTCACCCTGCGGCACTTTCACTAGGCCACATCTGAACAATGGGCCTAAACCAAAAAATAAAAAAAACGTGCTCTGTATGTCGAGGTTGTGGGATGGGATCGGGCTTCATGTACCTTTAATTTTCCGCTCAACTGGCTTATTGATTAAAGCTGCAATTACTACCTAATCTGTAGTAGGTGTGTTATTAAAAGACATTCTCCATTGTTGGCCAATAACTAAACAGTGTCCAAACTCAAATTGCATTGCTCAGCCTTAAGGGACACGTGAGACAAGTGTGGGGCTCATCATCATTAGCAGAGGAAAAGGGAAATGGAAGTAAAAATGGTGGAATTAGAGCCACTACCTCCAGGGGGAGCTGGGTGAGGAGAAGATGATGTTTTTTTTTTAAGCACCTGACATAGACTGGTCTTTAACTTTGAGCAGGGGCGTCTGTCTTTCAAGGTGTCGAACACTGATTAGAGATGCCTGGAAGTCTAGTTGGTCTCTCAGGATTATGTAGCAATCAATGTTTTTAGTAATGGGAAGACTTTTCAGAATAAATGCCCTCTGCACACTGATGATAATTAAGTTCTGATTTTGAGCAGTAATTTTGTTCAGAATATAGGATGATTCATGTTCACAGAATACTAAAAATGGACTTTTTAAAGGATAAAAAAACATTTTGCAGTAAGAAAACATTTAAAAGTGATTATAAATTGCTAATCAACAGCATCCACACACAGAGAATCACCTGCACAAACAAAGCGACAGACTAGAATTATCCCACCTCTGACCTAACATGCTGTTTCCCTTAATACCTATTAATTTCACACAATGGCTGTCTGCTCACCTGGAATTAATAACACAGAAGGCAAAAATCCACTGGGGGTTTCTGCGCGGGCCAAATGACAACCACAGCAAACAACCACAAACAGAAATAAAAGGCATTTAAAGTACATGTTCTCGACTAGTGTAAATTATATTCCATGAGTTTTAATATTTTCCAGGTGATCAGCATCTTTTTGTACACTTGGCTGTCCCATGAGTAGGAAGCTATTACGGCATTCTTGAATTCATTTGCCCCCACACCCACCCAAAAAATAAAAAATAAAATAAAATAATACATGAACAAATGGGATTTTAAATTTATGGCCAAAGAAGTGCAATGTGAATACTAAATATTTCTGCTTAGTGGAAAGCAACTGAGGTCAGTATCACATTTTAATTTGTACTTCAGACATGCTACATCATCTGAAAAAAGTGTTGTTCAACCATTCTTCTTTTAAAAACAACTGACACTAGCAAATAATATATATA